GTGACCCCCCCGCCCCCAGACCTTAAGTCATCCACGTGGTGGCACCTGCCCTGCCACACTCTTTTAGAGGACCCCCGAGGCTCCCTCCTCTGACCCACTGTGGCTTGTTTCCGCCCTGGCCTTGGTGTGGGAGACCAAGGTAACATATAGAAATGGCCTGTTGACTCTCCTTGTCTCTTCAAAATCATCAGAGTGGGTCTGTCTGGCCCTGGGTTTCACAGTGTAAGCCAGGTCTTAGAAAACATAGAGAGAATTGATGGTAGGGCCAGAAGTACCACGTATCTATTAAGAAAGATGAAATAAACTTGCATTGTTGGATGCACCTCTTATTTAATGATCTGCTCTCAGAGGCAGGCCCTGATGAGGCCCTCTGCAGACATGAACTCCCACCAGCACAAGGCACGACAGCCATGATGACCCATATCACAGGCGAGAAAACTGAGGTCAGACAGGTTAGGTACCTTGTCCAGAGTTACAATGTCATTAGGATTTGAACACAGGTGCGTCTATGTCCATGTAATGGAGGAGAAGAAATCTCAGGAGTAAGTGGGCAGAATCCCAAGCACTTGACCTGAGCAGGGAGCAACTCTCCTCCATCCCTACGGAACAATGGGAAGGGGACGGCTCCACTGTGGCATATGAGCTGTGGGCTAATCTTACAGCAAGGACCTTGCTACAGTGAGTGAGTTCCCGAACACTGGAAAGGCCTGGAGACCAGCTCTGAAAAACATCTTCTCTGAAGATCTTTACACTTGGAGAAAATCACATCAGCTTGGCTTTCCCGGGGTCCCCTGTACAGCGATATTCTCTTAGGCATCGGCCATTAAAGCCAGATATCTGCATTGGGACGCCAATGTAGATTCTCTGCTTTACGCCCCCTCTCCCACCAAGGGAATCTCATTCTGAAGCTCTAGATGTGGAAGTAATATTTTCCTGAAGATATCTGTCTTCATTATTTTATTTACTTATTTTACCTTTAGTTAGGGTTTGTCAAGAGACATTCACAAGTGTGTGTTTGTGTGTGTTGCTGTTCATATTTTTTTACGAGAATCTCTTATGCACAAAAAAAAAAAGAATGAAATGATCATGTTAAAGGAAATACAGACAATTCAGAAATGGTTCAGAGTTTCTGAACACTTTCAGAGATCACTGCACCCTGCAGAAGTGTATTTGGTTGGGGGGGGGAGGTCCCACAATTTCAGTCATTCCCAATGATGCTTTCCATAGTCACCAAGTCAGAGTGCCCTGTGGGCAGGGGTGTGAGTGTGTGCGCGCCACACACACACACACACACACACACACTCAGAAGGAGCAGGGATTGCTGATGCATCCATCTGCAGAGGGCAGCTAAGTCAGCCAGCTGCCCATGAATGCAATCAGCAAGTCGTTTCAAGATAATGACCTGTAATTCCACTTTTAGGTAACAACAGAAGCGGGGGTCTGCTTCCAGGATGTGACATTAACACAGGGGGACAGCAGCATTTTGCATCTTAGGTCTCTTCCCTGTCTCAGTGTCCCTCAAAAGTGAAAAACCCATTGCCGTCAAGTCGATTCTGACTTATAGCAACCCTATAGGACACAGTAGAACTGCTCCGTAGGGTTTCTAAGGAGCAAGCTGGTGGATTTGAACTGGCTGGCAGCAGCAGGATGCCATAGCTCTTAACCACTGCACCACTAGGGCCCCTCCAAAGTGAAAAGGAACGAAAAAATTCATATTCCACTTACGCCAGTGGGTTGATGAAAAATCATATACCTATAGCTATTAAATGCATTCACTATACCCGCAGACATCTTAGGAGGGGATGAACTTTCTTCGTATAAACCTTTGTATAATTTCAATAAATTTCTTTCACATAAGAAAGCAAATATTCTGTGAGTTTGCTACGTGCAAGGCATTAAATATACAAAGTAAGCAGTATATTCTTAAATTAATAAACTTGATTTCCTATCACTTCATGTTTCAATTATCATCAAAATCTCTGCTCTCTGTTAAGGAAAGTAACTTCTTTAAAGAAGCATTAAACAGTAACAGTGTGCCCTCAAATCTTCACCAAGTCTTTAAGTAACTTTCCACATCCTTAATGAGGCTTAAGATGCTTCTCACTAACGTTGCTGTCTGTTCCCTCCGTATCCTCCAATGATGGAGGAAAAATCCCCACATTCCATTTTAAAGACGAAGGATCTTTAAACTCCAGGATCAGGGGTTGTAACCTTGGGTTCACGGACCGCCCCCCACAAAGAACTGGAGGATAGATCTGCATTTCAACAGAATTGGTTTCCCTTGTAATTCTCTGCGCGTCTTTTCATGCAATTAAAAGCATCATGCTGCGAAGAGATTGATTATAGGTCTCATTAGCCCCTCCAAGGGGCCCAAGGCATAAAAAAGGATTAGGAAGGTCTTTGAGGGATTGGATTACAACTCTACAGCTACTCAGTTACAACAATAACCACAGGTTCCCTCAAGTTTGTATGCAAACATGTGCAAGCCTGGTGGTGTTTTTTGGGGACAATGGCATTCGACACCCCTCAGTATTGACAGACACACACCTAAACTGTAGAACCACCAAATCTGATCTGTGAATTGTTGGCATACAGGGACATCGCCCTCATTACTGAGGCCGTTTTACTAGGATTTTTAATCTGGTCTTAAAATCACAGACACTCAGTGACAAATGGGTACTCTTTATGGAGCTCCTAAAATTCCTTCTTCCAACTGAAACATCTTATTCCCAATTTCCAATGACCCAGGGAAAACAATGGTGAGAATCACCAACGCTGGATAAAAATAGTTCGCTTTTCATAATGCTTTATAGGGCCTTAGAAATATTACTGCAAAACACTCAGATATGGAGTACTGACTGAACAAACTCAGCAGCGCATGATACTTAACCAACTAGTTGATTTACTTACTGGAACAACACAAAACAGAATGCATTTGGGCCTGGAAATTGCCTGCATGACAGACTGTGTCCTAATTCCAATGGACAGCCGGCATTTTCCCAATACTAATTTGAGGTTTGCACTAACATAATTAAAACTGTAGTGGACAGACTCACGGCCTCCTTTTGCCACTCCATAAACAAGGCTATAAAATCATCTCATTACTTTCCCCAGGAAACCTCATAGAACCATGTCTTAAAAGAAGTTACCTATAAAACAGGGTTATTTGATTTTAACAGAGGATTTTAAAAAATTCACTTGAAGTCATTCTCAAGGTTCACTTGGAATATATACCGTAGACATATAAGGCAGTGTAATAAAATATTACATTCAGCATGGTATCCTAGACGAGTGCAAACTATTTCCCAAAATTTATTCAGAAAGTCATAACATATGTGAATGTCAAAAATACCTTCATATCATCATAAATATTTTAAATTAAACAACATATTTCAATGACACATTTGTATAATTTGCAAAATTTACCCTACCTTCTAAAGAATGGCCGGTTATTTCAATACCCTCTAACGCACGGGTTGGAAAAAAAAAAAACAACGTAAGATTCTACTCAAGCTATTCAAAATTTACAAATAATAATTGCTATGAATTATGGACATAATTAAGGGCAACGATAAGAACAAAAAGGGTAGCATTTTGGGTTTTAAAATTAAATAACTTCCCATGTAAGCTGAAAGTGGAGTACACTCAGCTCCCGGTTTTTAAATTCCTTTCTATGATGGTTATATTTCTGCAGACTCTAATCCTTGAGGACAAAGAAAGAAAAATCTCTGTAAAATGGAAGTCTTGGTACATGAACTGTTTACACATTATTGAACATACTATGGAGCTGCAGAAATAAAAACAGAACAGCACTTCTAAAACACAGTTTACAGGGTAGGTATACATCAAATCCTCTAACACAAACATTCCAAATTACGAACATACCAAATCAAGGTGGATTTCTGAAACTGCTTTGGCCCAATTCTGGACAAACTTCCATTTTCATGAGCTTTCAAATGAACTGAAACCCTTGATAAAAACCCAACCACGCAGCTTCTCATCTTTAGGCAACATAACTAAAGGCATACAACTAGTCTTTCTTTTTCCGCCTTGTGGTATCTGTTTCGGCTGCTGATTTTTCTCATTTCTACAAATGTCACCGAGGCATGGTGGCCTTGAAAATATTTTAACAAACCACCACCAAAACAGACCACGCTCCTAATGTGTTCTAATCATTAAATTGGCTTCATTTCCAAGAATTAGCCCACTTTCAGGTTCCCAGCTAGACAAATTTACCTCCAAGCTAATCTATACATGCTGTCTCCTAGAAACATTAGCAAGAAAAACATAACAGAACCAACATCCCAGAGCAAAGGGGACCAACAGACCATTCATTGCTCTCCAAATCCCACAAACATCACTAGGAAGAAAACTTACTCACAGTGCGCAGAGGACGTAGGTATTTTATTAAAGACAAATACACAACCGAACAAACCAAATTACCATCATTTGAGTTCTAAGAACTCTTGGCTCTCGGCATGGAGGTCCCGAAAATCAAGTCAACATTTGCATGTCCTGTTACAAACAGCAGCATGCCGGGTACCTCTTCTTTTCCGCTGGAACTGGCATCCCTGAGCTAGGGAGTCAGTCAAGAAGCATCCAAAAGTTCAACATTTACAAGACCATCTTTTTCTTTCGCCCTGCCCTCCAACCTCTCCAAGTCTTTGGCCTTCTCTCAGATAGGTATCCAGGCAGCGTTAGGAATAGTTAGAGAATATGAAAATTCAGAAGCGCTCCAGAAAGGCTTTGCAAAAGTAATCCACAGCCCTCAACAGTGAATTTAGAAACCCCAATTTTTTTCTGAGTTTGAATTTAAGCCTTGCGAATGGTTGGAGTAGGAAAAAGGAAATTTACTAGGCAGTGCAAAGGAAATCTTGTTGTCCTCTATTGTGGCAGTGGGGGTGTTGCCCAATCCTAACTTATCTACGTTGATAAAGGAAACCAAAGAAAAGAGTAACAAGCACAAGATTTTGTCAAATTCAAAGAGACCCTCTCCTTACCTTAATAGTGCTGGCCATAATGCAATCAAGTTTATTGATCGTTAATAAATGTTAATAATAATTATTGCTTCTCTCTGACCAGAAAGTAGTTTTGATGAGGTTGTTTAGAGCGGATGAGATTGTGCTAAGTCTGGGAAATGAAGTCAACCAATGTCAGGAAGAGGTTTCTATTGGTCCTGGCTGCCCAGCCCGAAGAAACAGGATATTTGGGAGTGGAGAGATAAGAGACCCTGAAAACAATGTTGTTTTTCTTGATGATATGCAGCCAGGAGATTTTTTTTTTTTTTTAATTAAAAAAAAAAAAAAAAGGCATCAATTGCCTGCAACTGTATGTGTCGCAGCAGGTGTGCCTGGGTGTGTGTCCTGTGTGACACGCCGCCCTGAGCAGGATGCAGATGTGGGGATGTGGCCGGACCCTGCATGGTTTTGCATGGACTGCCAGCGCCTGGGGACCAAGACGGTAAAGGCGCCCTATGGCCCGGATGCCAGGCCTTCTCAGCTCACATCTCGTCAGATCTACCCCACACCGGGACACAGGACTTGAGCTCCCTGCTCCACTCCCCTAAAAGGAAACTTTGCAGGTGGGACTTACTTCATGTAAATGAACGATGATGTTCAATAACGGCCATTTGCTTGCTGAGTCCCAACAACCTTCATTTATTCAACATCACAAGCGAATGTTCCAGTTTCATTTTCTCCTTCCAAACATAGGCAATTTTTATTTGCTTCACAACAAACATACCAAAAACGAAAAATCCTAGAATTAAAGTAACCACAGAAGAGAAAGAGAAAAATAAGCCTGTCCGTGTTTCCTTGCTTTCAAATATTTATTCAAAATCCACATCATTAACATTACTACAAACACTTTATAATGTCAGTGAGCTGGTGTCTCCTAGACAAACATCAATGTTGCAAGCAACAGGCCTCAGCAGAACACTTGGCTACACAGAGATACCACATAAAGACTCCAGTAAGCTTTTAAAATTCAAGCTGTAAGTTCAGAGCCACTTGTCTGTTTTCTACCCAAAGGAAGTACAGCTAACATTCCCTAGAGTATTTCCTACACGGTCTTTAATTACTCATTTTCAGGAAATTACTTGTTCCCTGGAAGAAACATTTTGCTTTGAATCTAGCTACACGAAAGCTGGACCATTCCAGAGGTGTGGTCTAAACGGTGGAACTGAAGGACACAATAGCCCAAATCCCAAATCATCTGGCAGCTCTTGGTTTCAGAGGTAGGTGTCCAGGAAGTGAATTTAACTCTGACTTCACGTCTGCGTATTTCAGAGTTCTATAACGTTCTATATTCTTTATCGTCCCCCTTGTGTTATGAGAAGGGGAAGAAGAGAAGATAGAAGAAGAGGAGGAGAAGGAAAAAAGAAAATAAATATATTGTAAGACATCTTGTTCTGTGTAAAAATCAGGACCTGACAAGTTCTCAGAATCTATATTTTGAGGGGATGTTGATTTCCTCTCTTTTCATCTTCAAACAATGAATGAGATGAGAGGCTGATTAAAATTTTGTTTTCCCGAAGATTTCAAAGTACTCGGAGTTGTTTTATCTGGGCAGCTTCCACTAGAATCAGGAGTGCTAAGAAACAAATAAACAAAAAGAGCAACCTCTTAGGGTCCACTGAGACCCTCTGGTTTCTCTTCTCTCCTAAGAAGCATCAATTTACAATGTTAACTGCAGTACCCCAATATGCAGTGCTCTATTATGGATATAGCAAACTGCAGCTTTAAATAAGGTGACCCCGTTGCTAACAAATATCTATGGAAGAAAATGCTGCATGGCCCGACCTCACCATCGCCTCCCGATTTCTAACCCTGCTCATGTTCCCTGCAACAGGAAAAGCACAGGCATTTTTATGGAGACTTTCAATGGCCGCTGCTCTTAACTCCTGGTTCTTGCCTAATTCAAATGAAACAGTGAACACTGAAATTTTCTAACCTTTATTTTGAAACAATTTCCAACCTACAGAAAAGTTTCAAGATAATACAAAGAACTCCTAATACTCTTCCCCAGTTCCCCCAACTGTTAATAATGTACACCATTTACTTTATCTCTCTCTCATATTTATTTATGTGTATATATATACATATATATGTATATGTGTGCGTGTGTGTGTATATATGTGTGTATTTACAAATATATACGGAGCCCTGGCGGCACAGTGGTTAAGCGTTCGGCTGCCAACCAAAAGTTCAGCAGTTCGAATTCACTAGCCGTTCCTTGGAAACCCTATGGGGCAGTAGCAGTCAAGTCAGTTATGACTCATAGTGACCCTATAGGACAGAGTAGAATTGCCCCATAGGGTTCCCAAGGAGCAGCTGGTAGATTCAAACTGCCAACCTTTGGGTTAGCAGCCGAGCGCTTAACCACTGTGCCACCAGGACTCCTTATTTATGTATAACGTGTATATATACACATACATATACACACACGGAGCCCTGGTGACTCAATAGTTAAGCGCTCAGATGCTAACTGAGAAAATACCTGGCAATCTGTTCCCACAAAGATTGTTGTTGTGTGCTGCCAAGTCGATTCAGAATCATGGTGACCCTATAGAACAGAGTTGAAATGCCCAATAGGATTTCCTAGGGTGTAATCTTTACAGTACCTTTTAAAATACACGTATACATACACACACATATATAGGTACACAGAAACACACATTATTCCTGAATCAACCTAGAGTCAACAAGTTCTCATCCTTGTTCTCTTTTTAACTTCTCTATGTAAGGCAGATGGAGGAAGGTCAGGAGTTGAGAACGCTTTGATGAGAGCCATATAGTTCTACAAATGATGTATGAGCACAGCAAAGAGAATAAAGGGACATGATCTTAACTGGAGACATAATAGAATATTCACTCAGAGCTTGTTTATTTATTTATCTGCGTATATAACATCCATACAGTGGACTACTAATAACCATTGAAAATGATTCTGTGGGAAAACGGAGTAGATATTTAGTGGTATGAAAAATTGTTCTATATGCTAAAAGCAGGTTATAAAGCAGCCCCATATCATAAAGCCATTTTGTTAAGAACAAAAAAGCAAAGTAAGACTATTAGTAGGATATATACTAAACTACTAAAGATAGAGAATCTTCCTGTGTGTATGTATACGGTCTTTGTTTTTTGTCCTTTTTCTTTGGTTCATCTGTATTTTCAAAAAGTTGACAATAGAAGTTGCACGTTAACGCAGAAGTTGTATAAGTAAACTGTAATGTTCTATGTTTTGTAAATATCTGAAAAACGCAGACACATCCTGTATACACATGCAGTACACAATACCTATTGTTGTCAAACCCCTTATCCATGCATACCAAAATGCGTGTTCCTTTCTCAATGTACGCACCAAGAATACCAAGAATAGAGTAGCTCTTTTTTGAACAGTTTTAGTTAAGGAAACCCAGGACACACTCATGTGTTTTGTGGTTGTCATTTATCCAACGTTAATCCATTCAGTGTGCATTAATTAAGTACCATCTACATACAGCACTCTGGTAAGCACTCAGCAAACAAGAATCACACAATTCTGCCCGATCGTGGTGATTTAGCATTCAGGAAGTCTCTGCTAGTCCACTCAAATTCAGCACACGTAACACCGCAGAGCCTGGAACCAAACCATGAAACACAGTCTTTAAGCACAAAACAATAGGAAAAAACTGCTGTATATTGTTTCTAAGGCGACATGCAAATTTTAAATGCATAGTGTTTGGATCATTCACGAAAGCCATGGAAGAAGGATGTCCCAAGGATTGTTGCCAGGGACATGCCTGAGACTGTAGATAAGAATCAAGCATCTGGAGCTGCCCCCACGATGGAAAACTACACGACTCAGTGGAACTTTTCCTTCTGGGTCGGTTGGAAGATTTGCCTCAGAACACGGGCAGTTTAAAGGACTCAGGACCACCCATGCCACACTGGTTATGGACCATTTTCCATCTACAGCAGATTTCATTAGTGTAGCTTCACTCCAGCAGGTAAAACTCAGTGTATGTTTTCGCGTGTGAGTGTGTGTCTGTGCGTGCATGAGTGTGTGTCAGCGGGTATCTGAGTGTGTATGAGTTTGTGAATGTGTGAGTGTGTAAGTATGCGTGAGTATGCGCGTTTGGCATATCCCCTGCGGCACATTAATTAAAAAAAAACAATTACAATTTAAATAGCTATTGTTGCAACACTCTCTCCTAGTGGTTAATATACGCCTCAGGTCTTGGTTGATTGGACCTAATCTAAACCAAGGAAATTGTTATCACATACTAAATCCTCAACTTCTCAACACCAAGTTGCAATTTCCCTAATTTTGAAGTAGGCGTAAGTTCACTTCTCGAAGTAGCAATGGAGCAATGATTTCAATGAACACAATTTCATAAGCGTCCCACAGGTCTTCAAGTTTATGCCAACTTCACTGTTACACCACGCCACGTTCCTCTGAAAAGGTGAGACTATTGCAACTATCATCAGAGATCCTAAACATGTCAGTTTATCACCCATGGTGAAAACACCCCCTAAGAGAAGAGCAATGATCTTGACACAATGATTTAAAGGAGTTTTTAAATTTCCTGTTCCGCTATCACGTTTCCATATACAATGCGTGAACCACAGACTGAGTTGCAGGGTCTTTGTGCATATGACCATGGTGGGTTGCAGACTGGACCTCTGTGACCTACAGGGTTTTCATCGGCTGATTTTCTAAAGTGGGTTGCCTTTCTTCCTAGCCCGTTTTAGTCTGGAAGCTCTGCTGAAAATGGTTCAGCATCCTGTTTATTTATTTACTAATTAATTTATATCACAAATGGAATCAGAAATTAAGCCAAGGCAGAAAAGGTTTGCCATAAACACATTTACATTTGCAGGAGTATGATCAGGCCACTGGCAGACTTAGCTAAGTTGTACCCATGTTCCAAGTCAGATGGGGAAGCGGGCGTCTGTGTCACATGTGAGCAGCTACGCTATGTCCTCTCCCTTTTGCAAAATGATGTGGAGGCCTTCCCTCACTTGGGATACAGCTGAAGCCAAGGCAGGACAGTTCTTTTCAAGTTCACCCTCAGGAACATTTGCTTGATTATACTGAACTGAACTGAATTGAATTGAAACTATAATGTAAGTGAAATTCATAATTTTTGACTCATGTCAACACAAATCCCAAAAGTGGTAGGTTTCTTGCCTTCCATGCAGGAGACCTAGGTTCAGTTCCCAGCCAATGTACTT